ATATTTTTTTTCTTTTTTCAGGGTAACCCAAATCTGGAATCATGAAAATTTTGTTGGTGTTTGACTTCGACAATACAATCATAGATGACAATAGTGATACCTGGATTGTACAGTGTGCTCCAGACAAAAAGCTTCCTGTTGAACTACAAGAATCTTATCAAAAAGGATTCTGGACAGAATTTATGGGCAGGGTCTTTAAATATTTAAGAGATGAAGGTGTAAGAGAAGATGAAATGAAAAGGGCAATGACGTCAGTGCCTTTCTCTCCAGGGATGCTGGAACTTTTCAACTTCATAAGAAAGAACAAAGAGATGTTCGACTGCATCATTATTTCAGATTCAAACTCAGTCTTTATAGAATGGATTTTAGAAGCTGCCAATTTTCATGATGTGTTTGATAAAGTGTTTACGAATCCTGCTGCTTTTGACAGCCATGGTTGTCTGACTGTGGAAAATTATCATGCACATTCTTGCAAGAGGTGTCCAAAGAATCTTTGTAAAAATGTAGTTTTGGTAGAATTTGTAGATAAACAGCTACAACAGGGAGTGAATTATATGCGAATTGTTTACATAGGTGATGGTGGAAATGATGTCTGTCCGGTAACCTTTTTAAAAAAGGATGACGTTGCCATGCCACGGAAAGGATATGCTTTACAGAGAAAGCTTGCTAGAATGTCTCAAGATCTTGAGCCCATGGACTCTTCTGTTGTAGCTTGGTCTTCAGGTGTTGAAATAATTTCTTATTTGCAATTTCTAATAAAGGAGTAATATGCCAACACTTGAAATATGTAACAGTTAAGATTAGGTTCAACAGCATAAAACTAAAACCATAAATGAAAAAGAGGAAAGAAAGAGTTTTCCCTCTCACTTCCAAGAGTTGCAGAGGTTTCCAAGGCCGCAGTGATCTTCTGTCAACCTCAGTGCTTGGTTTCCAACTCATGATTCCAACTGCAGCCCTCAGAGCAACATTCTGGCCAGCAGGAAGGCAGGCAGTGAGATGGTCACAACCAGGAAGCTTCCCAGAAGTTAGGCCCAATACTTCAGTTTGAAAAACTATTGGTCAAAATGTACTCCTAACACTCCACTAACTTTAAGGAAGGGAAGAAAGCAAAGCTTTCATTTGAGGCAGTCGTATGCCCAGGAAATCTTGAAAAAAACAGCAGTATGGACTTAACTACCTTAAGGGGCAACCAGTGGATTATACTAAATCTATGATAGAGATAGTTGATAAATAGGTTATATTTTTAAATTCATTCCTGGAGAAAAGGACCATATGTTAGATTCTTAGACAATTGTTTCAAAAAATATAATCAGTAATTATAGATCTTAAAAATAAGACCAGTGTTTTACTTACATATGAAAAGGCATAGCCAGGCATGGTGGTAATGTAATTACAGCACTGTAATTCCAGCACTCTGGGTGCTGAGGCAGGAGAACTGCCTTGAGCCTGAACTACATATAAGACCCTGTCTCAGAAAAAAAAAGTAAAAGGACAAAAGGCACTTAAATGTATATATTGCCCTCCCAAACCAGTGCACTTATTAAGGTTTTCATCACCTAAAGCTTTCTCTTTGAAATGAAAGCCAGGCGTGGTGGTACACACCTATAATCACAGTGCTTGGAAGGCTGAAGCAGGATACCACGAGTTGGAGGCTAGCCTGGGATACATAGTGAGACCCTGTCTCGAAACAAAAACTATTTGTAAAAAAAAAAAAAAAAAAAAGCCTATCTGTGAAGTGATAAAATACTAATATTCTTTGAATATCTTAACTTGATAGAAATTAACTACAGTGGTTTAATCAGTGTGATTTCTATTTGGCAGTGCAGTCTTGGGCAAACCAGTACATAATTTGTAGGAACACTCAACATTGAAGAAAATACTTTCATATAGGATATTAGCAGAATACCAACTAATCTAGAAATTTTTAAAAATCCATGATAATTTACAGGCTTATGTTTTACCCATAAATATTGAGTATGTAATAGGATTTTCTTTCATAAATTATAGAAAACTTCAAAAATAGAAATATTCAGTATAATTTAATGGAGAAAGCTGATACTCTGATTTTTTTTTCTAAGCTGAAAATTATTTTGCTTAAATGGAAGACAACGGAAATCATCTTTTGTCTACGTGTCAAAGCTAATAATTATAGATTATAGAACTAGAAAAACTTATTTACAGCAATGATTAATCAAGTAGTTTGGACCAGGTCTTCTGTTAAGTATGTCTGAAAAACCAAATAGAAGAACAAAAATTTAAAAACATTTGCTTGAGAACATCAGGGAGGGACTAGAGAGACAGCTTGACAATGTAAGCACCTGCCTGGCAAACCTAAGGACCTGGGTTTGATCCCTGGTATTGCATACCGTGCTGGCCACCAAAACTGGCATGGTGGCACACTCCTATAATCCCAGCACTGGGGAGCCTGAGACAGGAAGATCACTACAAGTCTGAGCTGCGTAGTGAGACCCTGTACCAAATAATTAAAAAAAAAAAAAAATCAGACTGACCACAATGAATTTCTAAGAAAACAGAATCTATAAGTGGTGGCTGAAGCGTTAGGTGGTTTGTTGGTAACCTCACTGGACCATAAGTAAGGATTCCCAATTAAGAAAAAGGCTGCTGCAAAAATGAGAAGGCCTTTCAAGTGTTGTCAGCTCAGCTTTGAGTATTCTCCATCTCTGACGTTAGGTTGGAGTCCTCTTAGTTTTAGAGCTTCCAGTGCCTAGGAGAACCACATCTCAATCTCCCTCTCAGAAGGAAAGCTCCTAGCCACAGAGGACAGACTCTTCAAATGCAGCCTACAATTCCTGTCTTTTTTATACTTGTGTGTGTGAGACCTGTGACTTGTGTCACATTAGTAGAGAATCAGGAAGATGATGGGATGCATGGATTACATATGTGCAGGGCCGTATGGGGTTCTGATGCCCAGGTTAACGACTCCTTTGTTGGTACCACACAAGCAAGATGCCATGATGTGAGCTGGCCCTTTGGAGGGGCCCTTCAGTAGTCTGAAAGGCACTGACCACTGCCAGCAACCATGTCATTTGGAAATGGATCCACCCCCTCGGGAGCTCAGCTGAGACCTGTTAATACCAGCCTTAAACCATGAAGCAAAGGACCCCACTAAGCTGCACATGCACTCCTGACCTGTGGAGGCTGTGAGATAATTTGTGAGAATATCACCGTACAGCAGTAGGAAACTAATTTACTAGGCTTCAGAGTAAATCTTAACAGTTTTGCAAGAACATTGTAGGTTATATAATAGAATGTTATTATATAACATCCAGAATGATGCAGAAAGGGACAAAACAGAAGAAGGTTGAGACATGAAGGCAATAGTGAGAAGCTATAACGGGGAACTGGCATTGCAAGGGAGAAAAGAAGATGAAACATAAGCAGTAGTTCATGAGATGATTGCAGGACTTTGCATAAGTGTGGGACATCAAACTACAGATTCATGAACCTTTGTAAGCTGGGAAAGATGGGGCATGTTGTAGTTAAACAACACAGAAGGCTGAGGCATGAGGATGCCTTGAACCTTGGAGTTAGGGGCCAGTTTAGGCAACAGTGCTGGAAAGAGAGAGAGTGCAGGGGGGAGGAGCGAGGACCATAATGAGCCCAGACAACATAAAAGGGCTACTGGTCTAGCTCCATAGTAAAGCACATACTTTGCATGTGTGAGGCCCTGGGTTCAATCTAGAGCACTACAAAAAAAAGAGAACCATATGAAATTACATATTGCTTTCCCCTGTCTCTGTTAAATCTCTGTCCTATGATAATATCTGTGGTTGCATTTAGGCCCACCTATACAATCCAGAATAAGAAAAATGATTCTAAGATATCCTAAATTTAATTATAGGATTCTAGGATGGAGGGCAGGAGGACTGGAGAAGTTAAGTCAGCAACTCCCAACCAAGAGTAGAACACTGCCTCACATTCTTGAGACTGTTAAAATCCTAAATCCCTTCATGACCTGTGTGCTGCTGCATTTACAAACACCATCATGCTATAAGCAATAGTTACTCTTGATGGGCTTCTATCACTAAGCTATCCCTACTCTGCTACCCCAGCCCTATTATCTATAGCCAGGGTAGTTTATCATTTATTATATCCTTCCTCAAAAACATTTTTTTTGACAAAGTCTGACTATGTAGTTCAGGCTGGAACTTTTGAAGAGCCTCCTGCCTCAGCCTCCCAATACAGATAGATGCCACCACACGTGGCTCAGATTTTTGTTATAAAAATATTCACTCTAGGTTTAGCAGACATACTTTTCTGCAAAAGTGAGAAGGCCTTCCAAGTGTTGGCAGCTCAGCTTTGGGTATTCTGTCTCTGATGTTAAATTGGAGTCATCTTCGAGTTTTAGAGCTTCCAGTGCCTGGGAGAGCCACATCTCAATCTGCCGCTCAGGAGGAAGGAAAGCTAGCCACAGTCTCACTATGTTAAAAAAAAAATCCTAAATCCTAAATCCTATCTGGCTGCTGGAAGTTATACGGACTTTTCTCAGGTCTTACTGCTGACTAACATCAGAAACAGCTCAGTTATCCCTTTTACTTCAGATTCCTTAGTCCCAAGAGTTTTGGTTTAACAAGGATAATCTCACCACTATAAGAGATTTTTTTTTAAGGGGTAGCAGGAGTCGAACTCAGGACCTTGTGCTTGCCAGGAAGGTGCTGTGCTACTGAGCTATATTCCCGCCCCACCCCATTTTAAGATTTTTAATCACATCTTCAAGGCCCTATTTTCTTACAGTACAGATTTACAAGTTGCAGGGGTTAGGACCTGATATCTTTGGGGGGCCATTATTGTGCCTACTATAAGCTAGTAAAGCATTTAGCACACAATGAATAGTAATCAAAATGTTTAATCACCACCACAGCCTCCAAGCAATAAAAGCAAACACCAGCCAGAAAGCCTGGACAGCTCTCATAGACACCCAGAGCAGAGACTGCCTTGGAAAGCCACCGGCTTTGCTGCAGCCAGTTCCCTGCCCGCAGATGTAGTGATTAAGCACTACCTCCCTGGGGCCACATAGCGTGTCTGTGTCCTCCTCTGAAATGCCAGGCATGTCTGCCTGTTTATCTGTAGGGTCACGTATGGAATTCTGTTATCTGTCTGAATACTTGATATACAGAAAATGCTCACTGCCATATTTGTGACATAGTTGAAAATTTATTCCTTTCCCAGTGGAGAAAAAGGAGTAATTTAGTCTATGCAATAAACTGACCATAGACATAAAAAGAAAAAGGACATATGAATTGTATTATGTCCATGCAGTATGAGAGCATGAGACTCAAAGACAGCCAAGTGGCTGACCTTATATAGACCCTAACATAGGAATAGGTGCTTAGGCTTGCTTGCTTGCTTGCTTTGGTACTGAGGATCAAACTCAGGGCCCTGCACTTGCCAAGGCAGGCACTCATGTTTCCAAGCTATCTCCCCAGTCCTTTTTTTTTTTTTTAATAGGATCCTGCTGTGTGTCGGTCAGGCTGGCCTCAGACTCTCTGGTACTCCTGCCTCAGCCTCCAGACTGCTGGATTTACAACCTTGCGCCCCACACCTGGCTAGGATCTTGGGCTTCTCAGAGGAGTGCAGGGGGTGCGGGCTGTGGTGTGCAGGGAGGGTGTGTACCAGGATTGAACATCCTCACGTTGTGCAGATGGCGTCTCCTGTCTGTGGCCCCCTCAGTCTGCACCAGGGTGTCAGGCCATCCAACTGCTTCTTCCTGGGGCAGACCTTTCTTAAGCAGAGGGGAGAAGTGTAAGGTAAGA